CAGCCCTACCCCCGTTGGCCCGCCCCACCCAATTGTAATCGAATCATATGCGCGCGCCGCTGCGATGATGGTCGGGAGTCCCGCTCACTGCACGCACGCGGGACCGTTTGGGTTCGGGACAGACGGGAGGGGGGAAGGGGGAGGGTTCTGCTGGGACGGAGCAAGGCCCTTCCTTTGTCGACGCCAGGCTTGCCCGTGGTAACGGTACTCCCGGCGGGCGGGCGGGCGGCCCCCCCCACTATTGTGGCGGCGGCGGCAGTGTGCGCAGTCAAGCCCGTCAAGCCCGGCGTGAATACTTAATAAGTGTATCAATATTGCTCGCTGATTTGCATTGAGCGATCGTTTGATGATGTATTAACGCAGTAGCAGCAGACGTCCCTCCCGTGGTGGCTTGCTTCTCGCCGTCGCCGCGCCACCACGCACGCCAGCGCCACCCAGCGGGCGGTAAGGGCTGTCCGGCGCCCACCGCGCCAGCAACGCAGCAGCGCGTCCTTTTATTTCGCTCGATACAACGCAACAGCGCTTCCGTTTTTGGCTCGACAACGCAACAAGACTTCCTTTCTTTAAAGCTCGATACAATGCGACAGGACTTCCTTTCTTAAGCTCAATACAACGCAACAGAGCTTCCTGTTTTTGGCTCGATACAACGCAACAGCGCTTCCTAAGTAAAGCCTTAGTTAAAATGCAACACCCTTTCTCTTTCCCGAGGCCATTTTTCTTTTGCGGACACAGTGCGGGGCTGTTGTCGCTTCTCGCGACGCTAGGCAGCAGCACTTCCTGTTCTCCTCTCGACACGACGCAACACCGCTTCCGTTTTATCCCGACACAATGCAGCACCGATGCGACACCGATGCGACAGCTATTCCTATTGTTGCGACGAGTGGCGACGCCGTGCGTCCGCGCTTCCGCTCGCAGCAGACGATGGAAAAAAAATCGTGAACAATAGAACAAAAAAACAACAACGACAATAGTAGAACAATGGCAACAACAACAATGGGCACGCGCTGTGCCAACAAGGGCGCGTTTAATGATATATACAGCTTAACTAATGACGCCATTGTATGTATTAATATACGTTGCACCGAGAGCAACTACCAGCTTCGGACTGACCGCGACCGGTTACCGAGCTTCCAGCCTCTTATTTTGCTGACTCACACAGTTATATTGGCATTGTTGTGTTGTACGGCGCGCGTGTGAACTTTACCACCCCTCCACTCCACTGAGTCCGCATGGTTACCGAGGCCATTCACTGCATAACACCCGGGTATAGA